GGGAAGCCTTGAAGCGGCGCCGGTGAGTACGGGAGGGGGATGGGGAAGGCTGCAGGCGGGTGGTGGTTGTCCTTGCGAGGGTGCCACAACGTTAGATATGCAAACCCCCTCAGTTGTGGTCTTTCTGTGTACTTGGCAAGAAAAACAACCTGCTTTATTTTCTGTACTCGAAAAAGAGGGAAAGCTAGGCGGTGGCAGTCGCGATGGGGGCCTTGAGTCTCCTGGTGCAAATGGTCCACGACTTCCACGGTGTTTTTTGGGACCCCACAGCGGTTGCCTGGGAGCGGGAGGGGGTGAGCCCATGTGTGGCAGCAACCAAAATACCCCCTTCAATCATTTCTCAACGGGGGAGGAAAAAATCCTCTTGATCTCCCCCTCTGCTAAACTGTAAGCGGACGACTCAAATCTGCTATTTGAACCATTGAGTTAAGACATCAGAAGAGTCATACAACTAAGGCCTAAATTTAGATTTTATTTTTTTTTTAAAAGCTTTCTTTTCCAGCAGCATAGTATGAAATGACTGTTTTTTTGGAGCCAACGTTTATCCACGATGTTCATTTTCTCTCATGCAATAGAAATACGTTTGTCCCAAAGCCGTCTGTGCTGCTCGTCCAAGCCCCGGTTTCGTACTTGGTTTCTTGCGTGCAAACCCTTCTCTCACATGGGATCCCACGAGAGTCCCTTCCCTACAGTTGCAAAAGCAGCCTGTACTGACAGAATTGCAGGGCTGGGGCGTGCTAATTGGGTTGGCATAGACTAGCGATTGTTAGTATCGTCCAACCAGTTTGGCTTCTACACAGTAAAGTCTTGGGTGTAATTGCCTAACCAGAAGTACGATACTATTTGCTAATCTCCACTGTCCGCATTTCATCGTTTCCCATCGGACAGACTTTAGCAGGTATTTTTCAAAGTAAAAATGTTTTGAAGCGGGTGCATCTACACAGACACTCGACTAATTAGCTCTGCAGTAAAGTGTCACAGTCTACACAAGCGCCGGTATTAGGGCGCAGTAAATAAATTAACTCTGCCATAGGATAGTATTGTTGGGGACAGTACTATCCTACAGCGGAGTAATTTACTCTGCCAAAATACACATGTAGATGGTGGCTGGGGCACAAGGGTGCTAAAGTGTGGGGGCTGCCTGCCTCCTAGCCCCGCACTGTAGCGCTCTCATGCCCCAACCAGTCCTTCTGGTGCCTGAAGCCACCACTTGGAGCCTGGAGCTGACCCCATCCCCTGGTCACCTGCCAGCCCAGGGCTGCTCTGCCCTACCTCAAAATGCTGTGGTTCTGGGCACGCGTGGAAGCATTGCACCCAGGAGCAGCCAACTCTGGCATGAACTGCACCAGTTTATTTCATTGCACTAATAGAACGTGTAGAAACACCCAGTGATTCTTATAAACATCTTCAACAGGAAAAACAGACAAAAACATCATGATATCAGCTGTTTTCCATACTGAGGTTTGTAAAGAGTTCTCCTACCAGTTTGGATAATTCTTTTATAACATTCTTTTTTGTTTTGTTTACATAGAGGAGAGAGAAGATGCCTTCTACACAGAAACCAATGCGGTATGGACACACAGAAGGCCATACAGATGTCTGCTTTGATGACTCTGGAAGGTAAGATAGTGCACTGAGGACTTATTTGAGTAGTTTGCCTGTAAAATTAATCTTGTAGAAACGGCTGATGTTCAAAGAAGAGTTAGGAGGATAAAAGGCCTGATAAAAATGTTCATGTGAAGGGACACTGAGGAGTTAGGATTTTTTTTTTTGAACCTTAGGAAGGAGATTAGTAAGAGGGGGCAGAAGAAAAGTAAGTGAAATAATAGTGGCACCAAGAAGGTAGATCAAGAACTTTTGTTTTCCATCTCTTAATTCCAGGAACAAATGGATATTCACTGAATTTGGGGGCGAGGAAAGGGCACAGCACTCAAAACCGATAAAAGTAAATACTTTTCATGTAATGTGTAATTGTAGAAGTTCTTGCCACAGGGCTGGTTATTTGGGTTTCAGTTCATAGATTCATAGATTGTGGAGTCGGAAGGGACCACAATGGATCATCGTGTCCGACCCGCTGCCCCTGGCAGGAAAGAGGACCGAGGTCAGATGACCCCAGCCAGGTGACTATCTAGCCTCCTCTTGAAGACCTCCAAGCTACGTGATAGCACCACCTCTCTTGGAAGCCCATTCCAGATC